AAAAAAGAAAGAAAGAAAGAAAGAAAGAAAGAAAGAAAGAAAGAAAGAAAGAAAGAAAGAAAGGGCCTCTACAGCTGGGTGTGGCGTACATACCTTTAATCCCAGCACTTGGGAGGCAAAGGCAGGTGGATCTCTATGAGTCTGAGGGCAACCTGGTCTACAAAGTGAGTTCCCAGACAGCCAGGGCTACACAGAGAAACCCTGTCTCAAAAAATTGCTTAAAAACACTTTATCTGGCCATGGTGGTTCATGTCTTTAATTCCAGTACTCGGGAGGCAAAGGCAGGCAGATCTCTATGAGTCTGAGGCCAACCTGGTCTACAAAGTGAGTTCCCAGACAGCCAGGGCTACACAGAGAAACCCTGTCTCAAAAAAAAAAAAAAAAAAGAAAGAAAAAAGAAAGAAAAGAAAGGGCAAAGGGCCTCCACTGTTTTGTAGAGCATACTGTTCACTGGCAATGTGGTAATGTGGTAGAAGCGAATACTGTAGAAATACATACTTCCAAACTAGGAGCTCCAGAGACACCTAGGGATTCATCCTAGAGCTGCTTAAAAGGTTCTTACTACAGCTTGGAGGAGCAAAACCAAGTGGTAGACAGAGTTAGTAGTCAACTATTCCCAAATTTGATCCCTACCCTCTAGCCCTGCAGTTCTCAACCTGTGGGTTGTGAACCCTTTGGGGGTCGCTGCATTATCAGATATTTAATTTACATTGCGATTCCTAACAGTAGCAAAATGAGTTATGAAGCCGTTGAGAAGCACTGCTCCAGCCAATCTGTACCCAAGGCTTCCCCACCCGTCCAACAGACTTTCCTGACAGGTGCTGTGAGGGTTAGACAGCAGTCAAGACAAAGTCACTGGACGTGTGACTGCGCACGTCTGTAACCCCAGACTACACGGGCAGAGGCAGTCACTGCACTGCAAGTCTGAGACAAGCTGGGCTATAGGCTGAGACCCTGTTTCAAAAACATAACTATCAGTTGAATGTAGTGGTGGTAGTGATGGTGCACACCTTTAGTCCCAGTACTCGGGAGGCAGAGGCAGGTGGATCTCTGAGTTGGAGGCCAGCCTGGGCTACAGAGCGAGCTGCAGTACACCCAGGGCTGTCACACAGAGAAACCCTGTCTCAAAAACAAACAAACAACAAACAAACCACCCCCTAAACCCGTAACGTGGCAAAGCTAGGAGACACATGTGTGTACTCATATTGTAAAAATCATCTCATAAAACATGAGAATTGGGAAAGGAGACCCTACCTTTAACCTTCTGTATCAAATGGTTTTACTCTGAAAACAACAAAAAACCTCAAAAGTGCTTTAATAAATCAACAGCAACAAAGCAACAAAGTGGGTGACCTGATAAACAGAGAAGGCTGGTGCTCAGGACAAGGTAGTAGGGTGTGATGAAGCTGTGCAAAACACAGGCTTATTCCAAAGGAACACCACCCCATCTCTCCAGCGTGGGTAGATCCTACACAGACCTCCATCCTTGGGTGCCAGAGCAGGGGAGCCTTTCTTCCTGGTGGGGAGGCTGGCAAGGGTGGGAGATGGCTGAGCTCTGAGCCTGCCTCAGCTAAGCAGGCTCTGAGTGCTCGGTCTGCCTGACTGAGCATCAGGCCAACGTGACTCCAAATCCATGTAACTACCCCTGCTGTGCCATGATGCTCCTGCAGCTTGAACACCCAATTCAGTAAGAAACAAGGGTGTTTCTATGATGACCGGGCCTGGGGAGCTAACAGAGGCCAGGGAGCAGGGGTTCCCCAAACCCCGATCTTAGAAACCCATGTTGGAGTCCTGTAAAATAGGGATGAGAACAGTACTCATCTCCCAGGGTAGTCCTGAGGAGTGTAAATATGACTAACAATAAAAACAACTGACAGTTACTGAGTATTTACTGCTTACCAGGCACCGTGGGAAGAACTCCACCTGTATGAACTCACTGGCTCCTCATAAGCACCCTAACATAGGTGGAATTATCATCTTTACTTTAAGGAGGAGGAAGCTGAGGCACAATTACAGCAAATAACAACTATGATTTCAGCCTAGGCAATGTGACTCAAGAGCCACCAAAGGACTTGACACAGGTTAGGGGCACTTGGCTTACAAGGGCTCCACAGGAACTGCTCTTAATCACACAGAAGGTAGAAAGAACAAGGGTGACTGCAAGGGTCCCTCAGTTCCCTTCCCAGCTAGTTTTTTGGGTATCCACAACCCTCCCCACTCTCTGACCTCCATCTGACACCTGTGTCCCTGAGATCAGCAGCCCTGCGCCCAGCTACATGTCAAGGCCCAGAAGGCCCTTATGTATTAGCCCCTGAGACGGATCTCTGGACTGACTATTCTTGAACTCTAGGGACAGGTTCTAAGGATATCTGGCTCACCCATCCCAGTGCCAGCTTCAGTAGACAGAGTACCTCTCTACTGCGTACTTAGGGAACTGACGTGGAGGACTACATCTACATTCAAAACTCTCTTGAAGCTCTCATGGCCTGCAACCTATTTACTTTTGGAAGTGAAGACCTGTACAGACAAACCTCTTCTACAAGTTCTGAGATCCTCTCCTAGCTCTGGTGTCCTAGAGCTAGGAAAACAAATCACCACTCACCTTCTACCATGCCACTTCATGACTTGCCGGTTCCTTTCAGCAGCTCATACAAGCTACCCAACACCATCCTTCCTCTATATGGGCAGTTTCCAGTTTGTGTTGCCCTCCTGGGAATCCCCATTCCACACCTGAGGACAGCCCCAGGAGACCAGACAAGCACACAACATACATTTCTCAGCACCACTGTTGGTTGGTCTCTGGCACCTGGCACCTGCTCTTGCTCTCCCACTGTACTCCCATCTCTAGGGGCAGAGACTCACCAGCACTGTTGGCCTCTGACTCCAGCAGGTGGATATCATTGCAGTCCGCCAGCGAGTGCTCCAGACAGAGCTGCAGAAAGCGGGCTTGGGTACGGGTGACCCGCTTCAGAAGCGACAGCAGAGCCACTGTTTGCTCACACTCATTCCAGCCCTTGAACCAGCTAGCGAGGATGCCTACTTGGTCTCGGAACATCATGGTGCCAGGCCTGGGGCCAGGGTTGGGGGACGGCGGTGGCAAGGGCCAGCGCCGTCACATGGTCTCGGCTCTGGGCTCCTGTTACCTCTCCCCTAAGGGCCAGGGCTTGAGGATGTCCCCTGGCGTGGTGGCAACGGGTGGTGGGGGGAGGAGGGAGCCTGCTTACATCAGGGGAGGTCTTGGTCCAGCCACACCTCTCCAGGCTCCTGGAAAAGAAAGCAAAGGGATCAGAGGGAATGCAGGGGCTGAAACTGTCATGGTGAATATGGGCTGAAGGCCCTGTTCATGTTTCATGGAGTTTGTTCTGAGTAGTTTCTGGGAGAAAGATGAAGCCAGCAGCAGACACTGAACCAGCTCCTATCCAACTGCAACTCATGGAACATGCATGACTGGCACTCCAAGACCAGACCCTCAGACAATGAACCAGCTCCTCTCCAACTGTGGACTCAGGAAACAGGTATGACTAGTACTCCGAGACCAGACCCTAGTCTCAGAGACTAAGGGGAAGCATTGCCTCACAACTGGACAGCATAGAGCCAAAGGAGAGTGACTCAAATCAAAGATTAAGTCAGAAGGGTGTTCAGAAACAGGAAGAGATGCTGTGCATTTGGGAAAAGATCTGAATGAAGAAAGGTATGGCTCAAGGTGACATGACAAAGCAGACATGTGACCTGGAACACATCTGCTGATCTTGCTAGTCTCAGGCTGCCTCCTCTCAGAGCTGGACAGTAACTGCTCACCAGCAGAAAAGAGCTCAAGAGTTCTTCAAACTAAACCCCACAATTCTGGCTCAAAGGTGGAAGGTGAGATGGTGACTCCAGGAGAGATCCCGGTATGCAGACAGGGTATGCAGACAGTACACGCTGACAGCAGGTAACTATCTGGTCACAAACCAGCCGGTAGATGTGAGTGAGTCCCAGGGCACGAACATGGACAGACCTGTTTAAAGATCACCACCATGAAGGGATCTCATGCCCTTCAACATAGCTCTTCTACTCTGGAACAAGCTTGGCTCTAAGACTCCATCTTTCTACTACAGGGTAGAACACCGCACGCCCCTCCCCCAACCCTCCTCTTCAGTCAACTTCAGCCCAAGACTCCAAGGTGGGAGTCCTCTTGACTTTCAGCACAGCAGATTGTTATCCAAGGGCCAATAGAGTGCCAACTTGAAGGAAATGGGCAGAATAAAATGCAAAGACACTTGGTTGGGGCAGTGGTAAGCAGATTGCTGTGAGTTCAAGGCCAGCCTGGTCTTAGAGTGAGTTCCAGGACAGCTAGGACTACACAGAGAGATTCTGTCTACAACAACCAAAAAAAAAAAAAAAAAAAAAAAAAAAGAGGGAGAGAGAGAGAAAGACACTCAAACAAGAAAATGTCCAAATTCCTCTTAAGCAAAGACTACACAGAAACTGTTTGAAGTGGGCAAATAGCAGGTCTAGTTTTTTGGCTGGCTCATTTCTAGACACTCCTCTGAGGCCTTTCTCAAGTGTTTGGGGCTTAAGGTATCCACTCATTTCCCCATCTGTCTCTTGCAACCAGTGCCCTCAGTTCCATTCCCCCAGGGCTGCCCAAGAACCAAGAACTCTATACACAGACCTAGGGTGTATAGAACCGGCAGGGCCCAGGCCTTAGGGCGTGGCCATTATTCTGACCTTACACAGCCCTGTTAGGGATAGTGTATATGGCTGGGTTGCCTTGAAGAATCCCTATTGGATATCAAAGGAGAACAAATTAGTATAGCTGTCAGTTCTTTTTGATGGAAGCAGTGGGGAGAAAGATGAGAGAAAGTGAAGTTTGCTCCAAGTTACACAGGTCTCCCACCAATTGTTTTAAAGGCAAAATCACAAGTCACCTCCTGATTTAAAGTCTCCAATGACTTCCAATTGCACTTAAATAATCTAAATAAATCCAAATTTACCTTGGCCAAAAGTGCCCTGCATGACTCCTATTGTCTCTCCAACCTCATGACATATCAAGTTCCTTCTTGTTCGCTGGTCTCCCCTTCCCTCAGAGGCTAGCTCCTAACTTGCTTGGGTCTCAGTACAGTATCACTTCCTCAGAGACAGTCTCCCTGACACTTTTCCACAGTCACTCAATTGTATTAGTGCTCTCATTTCTTTATAACACTATGAAATACTGCCTTATGTTGATTTTTCTTCTCACCAAAATGGAGGCTATGTAGTCAGCCAGCCTGAGCCTAAAACAGTATTTTATTCATTTTTTAAAAAATCACTACATTTTATTTGTGTGTAAATGCCTGTATATGCACGTGCCAAGTGCACATGTGGAGGTCAGAGGACAATTTGTGGGAGTTGGTTCTCCCTTTTGGTCATGTGGGTCCCAGGAAATTGAGCTTGGTGGCAAGTGCCTTTATCCACTGAGTCATCTTGCTGGTCCAGAGTGTTCTTTAAAAACAAAACCAGAACAGTTGTGATAACATATGCCTTTAATTTCAGCACCAAGGAAGCAGAAACAGGTGGATCTCTAAGTTTGAAGCCAGCCTGTCTATATATCGAATTCCATGACATCCAGGACTACATAGTGAGGCTCTGTCTCAAAGCAAAACAAGACAAATCCCAAAACACTGGGGTGGGGTGGGATCAAGACAGAATTTTTAAAAACAAATACAAAAGCCTGCCCTTAGATGGGCGGTGGTGGCGCAGGCCTTTAATCCCAGCACTTGGGAAGCAGAGCCAGGCGGATCTCTGTGAGTTCGAGGCCAGCCTGAGCTATAGAGCGAGATCCAGGAAAGGCGCAAAGCCACACTGAGAAACCTTGTCTCGAAAAAACCAAACCAAACAAACAAAAGCCTGCCTTGTTATCTTCTGCCTGATTTCTTTTAACTTGTGCATGTGAACACATAGCAATTGCTTGCATGCAAGCACTTGTGCACATGTGCACATTGCATACACATGTAGGTACCTGAAGTGGCCAAAGGCTTCAGTTCCTGAAGCCAGAGGCTGTAAGCCACCTGATGTGAGTGTTGGGAACTCAAGTCCTCTGAAACTGTAGTATGCACTCTTACCCACTGAGCCATCTCTCCAGCCAAAGATAAAGGGTCTTGTTTAAGTGGCCCGGGCAAGTCTGAACTCACAATCTTCCTTGCTTTAGACTCTTGAGTGCTGAGATTACAGGCGTGTATCACTGTACCTGGTTAATGGGAATATCTATCAATAAAGTATAACTAATAAACTGAGGCAGATGTGATGCTCTCATAAGATGTAATCCTAGCCTCCAGGAAGCTATGGCAGGAGAATGGAGCTATGCACTCCAGGTCAAGCCGAGATACCCAGGGAGGTCTTGTGGAGAAAGCTACACAGAACCACGCATGAGGTACCACTAACTAGTGTTTCACGTGTAAAAGGCTGAACTCTAGGCTGTTTAGTAATTCCCCTGTCCCTCCAAAGTGTCCACACACTTTGGAGGGACAGGGGAATTACTAATACTCTAAATGTTTTTGTTGTTTTGTTTTTTCGAAACAAGGTTTCTCTGTGTAGCTTTGGAGCCTATCCTGGAACTCACTCTGTAGCCCAGGCTGGCCTTAATACTCTAAATTTTATAACATTTCATTAGATACAAATGAATACACACTATTTTTTGACATTTTAAAAAATAATTTTCGCTTTGCCCTGGAGGAGGTGGGAATGGGAGGTGGGCTGGGGGGAAAGGGAGGGGGTGGGGGGGGGGAGAACAGGGGAACCCGTGGCTGATATGTAGAACTGAATGGTATTGTAAAATAAAAGGAAAAAAAATAAATAAATAATTTTCAGCTTTTAATTCCAGTATTCCGGCGGCAAAGGCAGGTAGATTTCTGAATTCAAGGCCAGCCTGGTCTATACACCAAGTTCCAGAACAGCTAGGGCTACACAGAGAATACCTATCTTGAAAGAAACCAAAAAAATAAAAATAATCCCCCCCCCCCCCCCAGAATTGAGGCTTCTTTCTCCTCACTCACAGCAAGGAAGCACTGTGCTGCCCTGGATGCAGGGTGACTGAGTGGAAGTTCTGTGCCTGGAAGCAGTACTTGCCCTCCTTACTCCAACATTGTGTGGCTTCAGGTCCCAAGAAGGCACCAGATGCTTCAACATAAGAAAGACTTTCTATATAATGGATCTGTTCAAGGATGGAGCTAGCCACCATGTGAGGAGGTAATAAGTGCCTGGCTGTTGGAAGTGGTCAAGCAAAGGCTAGGTGGACCCCTCTCGGGAGTAGGAGCAAATAATTCCTCCACTGGTTGAGAGCTCATGTGATACTCAGACCATGTTACTGTTTCGGTGGAACATTTGTGATGGGAGGTTTGATATGCCAAAAGCATTTACAGCAAAAAGATTACCAAATTCTCAGGCAAAAGCTGCACATTTCTACCCATCCAATTTTTTACTGGGCTGTTACTTTTCCTAAGCAACAAGGCTATATCCCCAATGGCTGCTGACTAAACATCAATCTAGGTTCTTCCAGCAAAGCTTTGGGACGGAATGAGGTCTCAAATGTGATGCTCACCAGGCTAAGCTTTGAACAGAGCTGGCCACTGGGGACTACAGTGAGCTACAAAGTACACAGCCTGTTTAAAGGCAAAATACACTACTCCACTCTAATCAACTGGTACCATGTGGGAATAGACTCATATTATCAGGTCTCCAGTTTTGTTTTTTGTTTTTTTTTTTAACAGAACAGCAGGAAATCTGGCTTTGAAAAAAAATCCTTATTTTAAATGTTGGAAACTAATTCACATTAAAACAGCAACTGTGAACTACTACACAGCACAACAAAACCACAAAACCCAGTGGCTGTGGTCCTTGAAACAAACTGGAAATAGACCAGAAGCTGACAAAACACACACTCCAACCCGTGGCCTCTGTAGTTTGTATCTTCAAGCCACCCAGATGCTCAAGGGACAGAACTGGTGGGGAGGACACAGTGATGGAATGGGGCTCTGTAGGTCTGCAGTGTGTACCAGGGCTTCCACAAGTCCACCCATAAGACCAAACTGTGAAAAATCATCCCTTAGCTAAACCCAAAGACCTGTGTTTGATCCTCAGAACCCACATGATGGAAACAAGTCCAAGTTTTCTTTCTGACCTACATACACACACACCATGGCACATGTGCTTGCACACACACAAACACACATGCTAAGTAAAATATAACCCAAAAAAGTTTTGTTTTAAAATATCTCTGTGAATTAGAGACCAGACTGATCTACTGT